AAGTTTCACCTTTTACAATACAAATTCCCATGTGACACAAACATCATAAGATAAGTAGAACTTCTTTAGATATTTTCTAGACATGTGAGAGGTGGTCAGATCATATTGTAAAAGTAGTTAGGTGAATACTTTTCTTACTCGGTGAGTCATTTGTAATCAAAATAAGTTATTAGGTATTTGACAAATGAATGAAGAATAGATTCTGGTATATGTGTGTTAGACAAAAAATAAAGTTGAAATGGAAGATAATTTTGGACATACGCTGACTCCAAGTGGCCACAGTCAACTATGACTAGTCCTGGCCTACTGTGGCAGGGAGAGCTAAATGACAGTGAATACGTTGAGAGAAGAACATTTTTCATGCTCTAAGAACTGTGGCTTCATTACGTTGTACTGCAGTGGAAGACAAGTATGTGCAGGTTCTTCATGTCGAGGTTGTATTACGGATGAACATGTAATGCTACATATTTTAGGATTACAACTGTCACTTCATTGCTTTTCTTAAATTCTAGACAAAAACCTTAACTCTACACATTCACCTTTTAAATTTGAAAAAAACAACTGGTCGTCAAGCATAAACACAGATGTGAGGTAAATAATACCCATAGTTAAAGAGGTTCTATAATGAGTATACTACCCAACAGCCAGATACTATGTTAATTTATAAGCAAGAACTTAAAAAGCTGCAAAATACCCAGGTTAGAGACTGCTAAGGAAATAGAAGCCAAAGTACTTATGGGGTAATTAGCTCTAATCATATGTACGTCCTGATAGTGTAATTCCAACAGTGTCCACTACAATTTTTGGTTTGGTTTTGGCAAAAGTGGAAATGGGATCCATAAATACTAATTTTAACTTTCCAGTATTCATAAGAAATTAGGATTTTTGATGATATATTTAAAAGAATTAAAAGATAAAAAATGAGTATAGAAGTCAGCAGTAATTAAAATGAAATCTCTACAATGGAAAAAAAATTGGTATAAAAATTTAAAAACATCTTGTTACTATAGCTGTTATTTTGCCAGGAATTTGAATAGGGCTCTGATTATCAGAGCAGCATTAACAAGTAGAAATGCTGTGCAGTAGCTTCTAGGTTTCTAAGATATTAAGAAATCCCTCAGTCTACCTAACAAGTCAGTC